CAGCGGAGACCAGGACAACTAGATGAGCCCCAGAGACAGATCCCCAGTGAAGACCTCGTCACCTAAACAGCCATCTGGACAAGACCACGGGAACCAGATGATTCCTCTGCACAATCTGACTTTGCTGCAGCATGGAGCAAACTGCTGGTTCATCTGGCCAAAGGAGAACTGTCCCCCTGACTGAGCCTGGTTTCTCCCAAGGTTTTTTTCTCCATTCTGTCACCGACGGAGTTTTGGTTCCTTGCCGCTGTCACCTCTGGCTTGCTTAGTTGGGGACACTTCATTTCCAGCGATATCGTCGACTTGATTGCACAGATACTGTTTAAACTGAACTGAGTTGGACGATGACATCACTGAATTCAATGATGAACTGCCTTCAACTGAAAATTGAGTGTTTACTATTGTCCTTTTGCATTATTGACACACTATTTTCCTATTTGATACTGTAAAGCTGCTTTGACACAATCTGTATTGTTAAAAGCACTATATAAATAAAGGTGACTTGACTTGACTCTAAGCATGGCTGTAGAGGCCACTTTTTGGGTTCACCCTTTAACATTAACCGTGGGGCAGAGCTGAACTCCTGAAGTCTTTACAAAGGGGTTTGAGGTGCAGAAAGGCAAACTCATCCAATACTTAAGAGGACAAACAGGGAAGAAAAGGAAACATTTAACTTTTTTTAAACTTTTTTTTATCATCCCTCAAAGGGGTTTCATTATCCAACAACAGACACATAACATGAACATCCTACAATGCGTAAACACAATAACACATACTTCAGTATTGAGTGTAAAGACAGCAAAAGTATGAGGCCCAGCATCATATGGAAAAAAAACATGTGTAGTGTGTGTTTTGTGCTACTTGTATATGTGCTCCTCACACTCTGAGTGGGGAAAAGCTAGACAAAACAAGCTAAAAACTACAGCTCATTATGGATGCCAATCAAAATCATAATGTGCTAGGGGTGTGACGGTACACATATTCGTACTGAAAATGTTCAGTACGGGTCTTTTGGTACGGTACGCATGTGTACCGAACAAATTGTTCATTTTTTTCAGGAAATTCAGACAATAAATGCCGTTTTGACGCTCATTAATGTGGCACGACATATCACCGTATACTAATGCCTCAGTTCTATTGGCAGCGTGGAGCGTGAGTGAGTGATCATCCCTTCCTCATTATTACTAGTTTTAACGTGAAATATACATGAATGAACATCTCACTCTCCCTGACATAATTGCTCGATTAGTGTTTCAACCACGGAAAAACCTCAATAAAACTATTAAATGTCAAGTAGCATTTCATTTACCTCAGGCAAGTCATCAGTGTCCACAGCTCGTTATTTGCTAGAGAAATGAAGTCTATAGTGAAGAGCATTTTGCGAAATGTCCACAGCGCTCGTTATTTTAGAGAAATGAAGTCTATAGTGAAGAGCATTTTGCGAAATATTAGACTATACTTCATTATATTTACTTTATCTGCTAGTGATGTCTTAATTATTTAATGTACAGTCATGGGCAAAAGTTTTGGCAGTGACATCAATTTTGTGTTTTGCAAAGTTTGCTGCTTAACCTGTTGTGGTGTTCATTCACATTCACATTCACATAGATTATTGTGTAGAGTGATCAGATGCATTTTAAATAATTGCTAAAAGCTTACTTGGCCAAAAAATGAAGTAAAAAAAAAAAAAAAAAAATCACTGTTTTTTGATCCTGACACAAAATGACCAGCTAACATTAATAAACTAATCATATCAGCAGAATGTGAAAGTGTGAATGAGTACTAGTCAGTTTTATCACTATCATACTAATTAGATTGTAAGAGCAGACTGATTGCTATAAAAGGAGGGAAGAAGTGCTTCCAATCATTGTGTTCTTGTTAGCAATGGTTACCTCCAAAGAAACACGTGCAGCCAACATCGCTTAGCATCAAAATGGCCTCACATGCAAGGAAATTGCAACAAAGAAGATTGCGCCTGAAAGAACCATTTACCGGATCATCAAGAACTTCAAGGATGAGTCCTGTGTTGTGCCAACAGTGAAGCATCCTGAGACCATCGATGTGCGGGGTTGCTTTTCAACCAAGGGAGTGGGCTCTCTCATAATTCTGCCCAAAAACACTGCCATGAATAAAGAATGGTATCAAAACGTCCTGCAAAAGCGACTTCTTCCAATGATCCATGAGCAATTTGGTGATGATCTGTGCATTTTCAAGCATGATGGAGCACCATGTCACAAAGAAAGAGTGAATAAAGAAGTGGCACGAAGATCATTACATTGACATTTTGGATCCGTGGCCAGGCAACTCCGCGGATCTCAATCCCATAGAGAACCTGTCAACGTGGAAAAATAATCTACAAATACTGAAGTAGCAAACTTTGCAAAACACACAATTTATTTCACTGCCAAAACTTTTGGCCATGACTGTATGTTTAAATAAACATTTTATGAAACAAGTTATGACTCAACAACAGAACAATATAAATTGTATAATTTAGAAGTTAATTTAAAGACAATTTAGATGTTTGAATATTTTTTTTTAATTTGAGTGTTGGTTATTATAGCTAAAAATAAACAACAATTGAATTTAAGTTTGGGCTCTATTGTTAATTGTAACCTTAAAGTAATTTAAAAGGGCTCCCGCAGAAGCTGAGGTAGATTTTTATCCCTAAGAAAATTTGCCATCACAGCAATAAATTACATTTATTTTTATAACTTTAAAAAAAAAAAAAAAAAAAAAAGCAATTTATGTTTAGTTTTTTTTTCCTCCTGCAGTACCGAAATACCAAACCGTCACGTCAAAACCGAGGTACGTACCGAACCATAGTGTTTGTGCACTGTTACACCCCTATAATGTGCCATTATCCAGTTTGTACAAGGGGAAAATAATGATTATCTTTATTTCATTTTATTTCATATTCTTCTCCATTTAAATTTCTCCACCTGCATTTATTTGTAATTTGCAATATTGCTGATATTTTCTCCTCTTAAGCAGCTTTCTCACAACATCCATCTCTTTTATGTGAATGCAAATATATATCACAAGTGAAATGCTCACCTTGCTCTTCCTGACTCAGAATGGACACCAGGTTGCCTCCATGCAAAATGCAGTGGTCCCGAGCATTGTGCCATGTCATCTTATTATTAAAAAGCTTGTAACACTATTTAAAAATACAAGTGCTTTGAATTAGAATGTGCAGCTGCCTATTGCGTTTCTAACAAAGTTGAATTTTAAATGACTTTTATGTAAGTGAAAATACTTTTACTTAAAGCAATTAGACAGTGCTATTAAAAAGCTTGTAACACTATTTAAAAATACAAGTGCTTTGAATTAGAATGTGCAGCTGCCTATTGCGTTTCTAACAAAGTTGAATTTTAAATGACTTTTATGTAAGTGAAAATAGTTTTACTTAAAGCAATTAGACAGTGCTATCTATCTATCTATCTATCTATCTATTACAATAGCTCTTACTTTGCCTCGAAACATGGTCCATTCGGGAGTACAGCCTCCTGGTTGCACAGTGGAGGGGGACATGGTGACATTGACAAAGCCAGAACTTCTTTCACAGATAGAGGGCAATGCCACACCGCAGTTAATATCATTCCAGAATCCTTAAACAAACAAACAAATAAAAAGATAAATAAATAAATGCTAAAACCTTTATAGTGGTGAATTGGAGACTATGTCAAATACATTTTGCATTCCTAATTGATCAAACAGCAGAAGAAAATCTCCAAAATAGTGTTTTCACGATGAGAATGAGAGAGAGAAAGAAAAAAAAGAGACACTGATAATGGCAGTCAGAAGAGTGCCAGTCCACAGAATGGCAGTCCACAGACGCTGTATTAGAAACACCCTCACAGCAGCGTTAACTTTTTTTTTTTTTTTTTGTAATTTGATGCAAAGGTAATATAACACAAATATGCTGCCATAAAAAAAATTATTTTCAGATATCTTGGCAAATATATCACCAAATGAAACAAGTTGCTTGCACTAGGGTAATACATAACTAACATTATCTAATGTAACCTTATTGTGAAGTGTTACCAATAATTGTAATTAATTTTATAATTCCAGAAGAATCAATAACTATTTATTATGTTATACAAACATCAGTTTTTGAGGGGACAAATAAAACAAAAATTACCTATAGTTGCACACTCCAAGTTTAAGACTTTTGGGTTTTTGCTTAACAACCCAGTCTCACAGCATTTCGTGACATAGTCACAAAATTTGAATCTATTGATTTGTGTTCATGGACACAAATTTCCCTTTTTTTGTGTGTCACTCAGCACGACTTTCAGTGTAATGCATTTCAATAGGGATTATCTCGGTGCAGTACCCCTTCAGTGTTTAAATTTTCACACTTGTAAAACTAGAAATTATTTTATATTTATTATTTTAGTGCAGGGGTGTCAAACTCAGTTCCTGGAGGGCCAGAGCCCTGCAGAGTTTAGTTCCAGCCCTGCTCCAGTACTCATACCATGTAGTTTTCATATAAGCCTGAAGGACTTGATTAGTTAGATCAGGTGTGTTTAATTAGTGTTAAATCTAAACTCTGTAGGGCTCCGGCCTTCCACGAACTGAGTTTGACACCCCTGTTTTAGAGCACCTAACACCACTCCTTACCCTAAACCAGGGGCCTAATTTATAAAATGTTGCGTATAAACCGTCCTAAATTTGTTCTAAGATAATTTCTCAAAAGTGTGTAAGTGCAATTCAGAGAAAACGAACGTGCGCACAAAAACACGCATGTATGCCTCTCTTCCAGATGTGACATTTATAAATCGCAAATTATCTTAAAAGTGTGCGCAGCTGACTGGTGTCAGATCTCCGCCTTGTAAACGCCCCCTAATTAATATCATTACCATATAAGAGAGCACACGCCAATATCCGAATTTCTATGCTTATATGTATATATGTATATGTATATATGTATATGTATATATATAT